AAATTTTTCTTTGTTTAATATATGATTAACATTGATAAAATATTTCTAACATATTAGATGCAATTGGAATCATTACCCAACGAATTATTACTCGATTTATTTCGATATTTCGATAGTATTCATCTTTTATTCACTTTTTATGGTCTTAATTCTCGTTTTAATAATTTAATTGTTATTTATTTTCGATTTAACTGTCTTAATTTTCAACATATTTCAAATCTTAATTTTGATATTATTTGCCAACAATATCTTCCATTAATTATCGATCATATTAATTCCTTGTATTTATCAGATGATGACGAAACTCCACAACAAACAAAATGGCTCATGAGTTATAATTTCAACCTTGAACAATTTATTGGATTACAATCACTTACATTGTCAACTATAAATTGTGAAGAAACAATGAATAAAATGATGAACCAGTTATGTTATTTATCTCAACTTCAATATTTAAATATTATTGATTGTTATTTTCAATCTTCATATATCGATAATATTTGGTTTATTCGTAAATTGATTCGTTGTGAATTAAATACTATTAGTAATTTCGATTGTTCAAATGTTCCAACAATAAAATCATTTTCTCTTCAATATTTTTCTATTTCAAATGTACCGTTAACTAAATTTTCCATTGAACATTTGCTAGAATTTACACCTTGTCTTCAACATCTTATAATAGATTTTTTTGTATTTTCACCCAGTGAAAACTTAACACGAACGATATCAACAATTGAAAGATTAAGTTTAGCGTTTTTAAATTCATCAAATAAATTGGAAAATATTTTACAAAATATGTCAAATGTATCTAAACTTACAGTTAGAACATGGAGAGATATTTACAGAAATGGTTATCAATGGGAAAATCTGATTAGTAATTATTTACCAAAACTCAAAGTATTTAATTTATTGATGCAATTTGATTCTGATGATGATGATGATGATATAAATGGAGAAGAACAAGTTGATAAAATACTTGATTCATTTCGAACTCAATTTTGGATTGATAAACATCGATGGTTTGTTCGATGCCATTGGCAATCAAAATCCTTTTCGCTTTACACTTTACCTTATGTCTTTCGAAGGTTTACTATCGATATCGATACACAATTTAAATCAACCTGCATTGAAGATAATACTTTTTCCTCATACAATCATGTAAAGGATATATCTTTTTGTCCTTCTTTATCTCCAGATTTTGTTCATCTTCGCTTCTTAAAACTACATGATCTTTGTCTTGTGTTTCCTATACAAAATGAGTTTCTATCGATCATACCAACTCTTCATTATTTGACATCACTTACAATTGACTTCGAAAAAGAAACTTTTATTTCATTTCCATTACAAGTATTACTGGATAGAGCATATCATCTTTATTCACTCAATTTAAAACAAGATTCAACTTTACATATGATTAATTTGAGAAGTAAATCGGTTCGTCAACTTCATTTCAGTTCCCATAATAAATATTTCAATCAACAAGAATGTATTCTATTAAGTCAATCACCACTGGGTATGCAATGTGAAGTTCTTCGGATTCAAGTTAAAGATAAAAAAAATATTATTTATCTTTTAAATAAGATGAAAAATCTTCGATCGTTATGTTTTTCATGTGAAAATATTCAATCGCAAAATGAACTCATTGAATGCTTGAAACAAAAACAAGTAGATATAGATTTCGCTCATTTTATTCGATTGTGGATTAGATAATAAATAATCCTATTATGTAATTGCTCAATTGAAAGTTTAAGATAACAAATATTTCAAATTCAGTTCATAAACATTTTTTTGATGCAAATTGTATAAATTGCATAGTGACTATACTTATATTTTATTTTTTGTGTATACTCAAATAAAATTCTTTTAATAAAACATAAATACTGCTACAAAAATCACATCATAATTTTAGTTTAAAAACATTACAAGAATATTTTTGTACATGATAAATATTAATTTTGAAAGCAATAGATAAACACAAGAATGCGCTAATGACAAATAAATATTTACTATCTATTATTTTTACAGCAACCTCATGGATACCTGGAAACAATTATATTTTAATGAATTGTTCCTTTTCGAAAGAAAACTATAATAGCAAGCGAATTTCAAAAAGACATTACTAATTATATACCTTCAGATTGCATCTTTAATTTTGGTTTCCCTGACATTCTATTTAGCTGCAGATCTCTGATGAGTGTTTTCATTTTAAAAAAGATAGTACGAAACACATCAACAAAACTAAAACTTTACATTCTTTTTATCAAAAGACGGATCGATCTGTTTTTTGTTTGGTATAGTCACCCTCATCCTTGGTGAAGATGTAAGATGTATTCAATACTCACACTCATATTGTCAATCAGCGATTCACTTCTGGCAAATCATAAATGGCGTCATCATCATAAAAATCTTTGTTGAAACACACTTGGAGTTTATGCTTACCAAAACAATTGTGACTCTTTATAAAACTAGGGCTGATTTTTCTCTAGTTCGATTTATAAATAAATAATAATTATAAAATAAAGAATATTCTTTAGCTAGAGTACAAAAAATTTTTTTGATTTTGACAACATAATGATCTGCAATGGATTCATACAAAATACTATAAAACAGAATCACATTATATGTTCTCTTTTCTTTTTTTCTTCTTCGTTATGCAGCTTAAATTATTTCGGTCTTCATAACAATTTTTTCATCCTCATACACAAAATAATAATAAAACGAAAGACGCATGGATAGAAAATGTCTTGTTGTTGTGTGTTTTCATTCTATACAAAATTAAACAAACAGAACAACTATAAAATCAATG